CCATTGATATAGATGTTAGCAATGGGCAAACAATGGACTATGGATATAGTTCCTTGAAAAAATAAAAGACAAAAGAGTATAGTCATCAACTGAGACGAAGCAATCAGGATGATGGAGTCTGCGGCAAACTTGGAGAACATCGAAGTACAACCATGAAGTTCAAAATTAGTAAAGCAATTGAGATCGAAGACAATGAGTTTACATCCATGGAGGGAATAGTTACCGCCTGAAAATAAGTTCATGGGAAAGTTAACAATCATCAAAATAAGATCTTGGGGCAGTTAACATGCAGTATATCAAAAGAAATTGCTTGGAGGCACAATTGTAGCATCATGAGAGCGTGCACACTGAAATTTCAGGAGATGAAGACAATCGACAGAACCACTCAAGGAAATGCAATCACTGGAAACAGTCGGAAGGCAATCAGTTACCATTATGTCATTATAAATACCATCAATCACCAACAAAACATTCCCCGCACAAATCAAACAAATTTTCTACCTTTGAGTACATTTCTTTCCCGCACTGCACTTTATTTTCATAGTTGTAGCTTTTTGATTCACGTTGTCGATTAAATTCCGGTGTGTAATCTCTATCCCAAGTGCTGTATCATCAATTAAATTCCAGCATAGTGTCTCTTGTGTTTTCATATGGTATTGTCGATTAAATTCCGGCATAATTTGTTACATTTGGTTACTCTCTCGAGTTTGTATTTTCCGAAATGTGTCATCGATTGAATTTCAGCAAAATTTGCGTATGTGCAGTTCCATACCATATAAAGTTGTCAATTCCCTCATTCGCAAGGATATTTCTAGTCCAGAGTTAGCACGGGACCTTAGTCTCCTTTAATTAAAAGCCGTAGAACTACTTTTGGTAAAATATATTTTGTCGCGAGAGAAATTCCGGCGAAACACCTTCTAATGTCCACAACAAGGGACGGATCTAAAAATATTTGCTTTTACAGGCCAAACGTGACAAGAAAATCAACGGTTTCATTAGTATGAAAACATCAGTAGTAAATCAACATTACATTAGATGATATATCAAATAATTCAATTGCACTGCTAGAAAAATCCAACTCAAAAGGTTAAACAGATAAATGGAGGGAGATTTAAATATAAGACCTATTGAAATCCTATAAATAAGCGATATGTGATTGGTTCCTGGCCTAGATTCCGGAACCCAGCCAGTGACTCCCGGTTCTAAAATTTTGGAATTGGAAACCAGACCGAATGGCTCTAGAACAAGACTGGCCGACCTTACAAAGCATTTTAGACATTGGAACACCATTCACCATTCTCTCACATCAATTGCTAGCAAAAAAAAAACTAAGAAGCTCAATTTCCCAATACGCAAGATTACACAGTGCTGCCAAGAAAATGCACAATTGCTTACCATCGAAGGGATTGTCCAAGAAGACCGTAGCAGAGGCTTGAAGCACTCGTCGAAGAAGACCATAACATACACTCTAAGGCGAATCTCGACTCGGCCAACTCGAATCTGAGCCCACTAGAGGTGAAGCACATCTCAAATAACCAGCTGAACATGCTCAACAATTCAGAGGGCGTCACGGACTGAGGTCTGGTGGTCACGGTCTCAATTTCTTCATACTCGTCAGGCCTCGTCGATTCTGTCTGAGCTTTGAAGCAGCCCCATCTCTTTGGTGTTGTGTTGTAAATATGTTGTATTAAAGTTGCATAGTGATATGTTGTAACTTATGCGTTTAGTAATATTTTTAAATTAGGAGCATATTAGATAAAATAACTTGGGCTCTTTGATGTGTCACTAAAACAGCGGAGCGTTGTAGGTGTGAGATATTTGACAAATACCTTCAAACACTTACAGCGAAGTCGAATTAAAAGGCGAGCCAGAGAGGCCATTGCCCCCAACTTTCTAAAAATGTGCTTAAGCCACGAATGTGGAAATTTTTATGAGCAACATCCATAAGCCATGGCACGCTCAAATTTTTTTAATTTCTTGAAATTCAAGAGTTTGAATCCATTGAGGAATGTTGAGTAAAAGGCTTCATGTAAGAGTTGAATCTTGCAACAATACGGCTTTTAATTAGGAAATGTGAGGTGAAGACTGATACTATTTCTAACTTGCAATATAACTTCCTTTGGTGTAATTGAGGAGAAGAACACAACTAGTGTCACAAGTTTTGTACGGCGCTTCATTTGGTACCATAACTTTTCAACCGATTACTTGAGTGTCGTAATTTTTAATAATTGTTTCAATACAAGCATTATAAATTTTAATGCCACGCCGGATTTTTTGGCATTCAGATGATCAATTGAAAAGTTATAACACTAAACTAAAAGATTTTCTTTTTTAAAGTTATGGGAGTCCGATGATCGATTGAAAAAGTAATAGTACTAAAGTGAGTGACATATGAAAATTATGACATTTGTGTATCCTTTTCCTGTGTAATTGGGAAAGATTATATTTGCAAAGAAATCTATTGTTATTCTGGCAACATTAAGTTTTGAAAGTTCACATTCTACGTAGTCTCTTAAAAGGGTTTTGAGAAAAGAATTATAATGTCTTTATATTTACTATTACATATAGCAAAGAGGGGCTTATAGACAACTTTATAAAAAAAAAAAAGTTCAAATTTTGATATAGTTTTATTTTTCCACATATATGCGTACAATTTCTTTATATTGAGGCAATAATATCTTTCCATTAATTGATAATCCAAATATTTCCTGATGAGATGGTTGAAATCTTTTAACTGTTAGTTTTCGCACGTACGCAACACGTGTGTACTTTTGGTAGTAATCCTAAAATGTCAAGAGCCATTATCCTACTTAAATAAAAGATCCATTCTTAGACTTGCAAAATATCTTTTCAAAGCTAAGTTGCTATTGGAAACTATATCAAAGAACGTTGTCCTTTTCAATAGTCTACATAAATTCTGCAAAATAAAGAATTTAAAAATGCAGAAGTTGAGCATGATATTAATATATTAACTCAGATGGGTTTACGTTCTTTTCGAATCAACAACTTTTGATATGGTATCACTATTTTCACATCCTCATTGGCTCCATACACAAATTTTCTCATTGAAGTGACCAAATATCGCCGTAACATCATACGATAAATTCTCTCCCCTAACTGTTTGCAAGAGTCGTGTTTTTTGTGCAAAATCATTACATCCCTTTCTCATCATATATTTTTTTCGTGGTTTAGCGATAATGATGTTTAAGTCCGCTTTGGTGCATCTCAATTAGTAGGATGCACTTCCCCACATCGGCCTGACGTGTAGAGGATTTTGCTCATGGAGTGCTCCCTTAAAGACTTGAATCCAAGACAATGAGGAGAGGAACCAATTCCCTTGCCATCTGAAGCCAACACCTTGTTTATTCTCATTATGTCTTTTAAATTATGCGATCTTATTGTGGGATGGCAAGGGAAAAAAGGAAAAATTTCCTGTCTTTACGAACTCAATCTTCTGTTTACATTTAAAATAGTTGAGTCAGACAAGCAAGTGCTTAGCACGTGAGCATGAACAATCACGTGGGCGACAAGTGAAAATTATTACGCACGTGACACTTTCTGACGATTGTAGAGATTGACATTCATGAGTCGACTTTGATACGCATCTGTGGAACGTATTTGGTTGTTGATATATGATGACGAACATCTAGTAACCGTTGATATAGATGTATTGAGGATTTTGCTCATGGAGTGCTTCCATTAAGGACTTGAATCCAAGACCATGAAGAGAGGAACTAATTGTAAGAATAATTGTGGCCCATATAATATTATTAATGGTGTAATAATTGTTTAAATGCTAAAATCGTATTGGCTATGAAAAGTTACAACTTCTATGTAGATAGAGTATGAAAGTTGCAACTTTTATGAAGATAGGATATGAGAAAAGCTTCTAATTAGGAAATGTGAGGTGAAGACCGGTACTATTTCCAACTTGCAATATAACTTCCTTTGGTGTAATTGAGGAGAAGTACACTGCAAGTATCATAATTTTTGTGCGGCGCTTAATTTGGTGCCGCAAATTTTCAATTGATTACTTGTGTACTAGAACTTTTAACAAATGTTCAATACAAGCATTACAAATTTTAATGACAAATCAGATTTTTTGGCATTCAGATGATCAATTGAAAAGTTATGGTACAAAACTAAAGGTTTTTCTTTTTTTGAAGTTATGGGACTCGGATGATCGATCGAAAAAAATTGGCACTAAAATGAGGACCATACGAAATTATGACTTTGGTGTGCATTTTTTCTGTGTAATTGCAATAGATTATATTTGCAAATAAATCTATTGTTATTTTGGCAACATTAAGTTTTGAAAGTTCACATTCTACATAATCTCTTAAAAGAGTTATGACATTTTGAATTCTCCCCTAGCCCTCTTATGACATTTGCGCTGTTGGTTTTGTCAACTCATATACGTAATTTGTAACCCAACGCAATATTGAACTCAGTCAATATTCGTATTAGGTGTTTTGATCATCAGTGTCTAGTACATAATTATGTGGTAAAGGAATTAGTAAGCGAGTTTTAATAGGAAAATACTCGATGGATTGAGAAATCTTACTAAAATTTTATTACGAAGTGACATAACTAGTTTCGATTGGGTATTGAAATAAATGAAACATGCATTGAATCATTGGCATTTTTGAAATACCCAATATAAAATTGCCACATTAATTAATAAATTTTTTTATTAAGATTTCTTTATATATACATACATATATGTATATATAGCATTGCTCATTTTAAATAATGGATTTCATGACCGCAATACCCTTCAGATATTTTTTAAGCTTGGATTAATGCGCTTTGATATTACAAAAAGATATTGATTTCATATCTGAATTGTTATTTACTCATTTTGAATATTTTATGATTTGACAAAAATATCTTCAAGACATTTGTTAACGAAATTACACATATTACAAATAGTATTTCTCCATTATAATAAGGTTTTCTAGACAAAAATGTCCATGGATGGAACAAGAAAAATCAAGGCATATGGAACTTCGAACATACTTTTATTTGAAGTTTGAATCACACATTAGTAATAATACACAAACCATTTAACCAGTTTATGACATCTAACAAAGCAAACGAACATATATGAAACCTTGAATCAAGCAAACCATAAGGGATTACTATCTTCATCAGTCGCCCTTCTCATGATCAAGGGCTCGGCGAAACGAACTGTAGCAACTCATCGTTGCGCTCGAACTCGATCATGTCGTGCTCGGGCAATGTGATCCAAGCTTCGATCCCATGCCCGCACCTCGTTCCCATAAAAAACACCATATTTCCAATCGGAAAACCGGTGGTGCACACCCAAGCGGGCTTTCCCAAGCCGAAATCCACCTCGTAGTAAGGAAACCCTGCCCAGCTGCTGAAGCCGTAGAGCTTGATCTTTCCCGCAGACGACTCTGCCAACTTCCGTGCCGCCGTGAGGCTCTCGTAAGCCTTGGCCAATCCCCTCTCGCCTTGAAGCACGCTCAAATATTCGCCATCAATTGCCCTTATTGATTTCCTGAGAATGCCTGCAAAGTCCTGCAATTCAACTGCCTTGTTTGCGTCCATCAGTGGTGCAACAGTGGTCTGCCACAGATTGCCCAAGGCATTTTCAGGCAGTGGCTGTGGCCTCATCCTGCTTCTGATGTTCACCACATGTGTCGCAGCTGATGATGGGGGGTACTTCTCGTTCCACTCTGGCCTCTTCCTCTCCACCTCCAAGGCGGATTTCCAAATGAGGGCGGTCACTGCCTCGACGCGAGTAGGAGTGGCACTGCCAAACCTGGCCCTGAGGCGTGCCAAGCTCTCACTGTCGAAACGAAACATCTTGGTGGAAAGCTTCTCTCTGCTGTTGAACTCGCGTGGCATTTGGAAGTTTACGTCCTTTGGTTGGAAGAGCTCAGATGCTTTCAAGAAGGGAGTGATGAGGATGGCTTCGCGGTCAGTGCCATTGAGGGCAATTTCCGACCATGTGGTGAGGAAAGCAGAGACTGACGCGCCGTCAGCGATCTTGTGAGAGATGCAGATGCCGATCCCGATGCCGCCACAGTCAAAGAAGTTGACTTGGACCCCTACAATGACTTGTTCCTCAATGTTGGGAGCGACTCTGTGCGGAGAGAACGGGAGGAATTGCAGCAGCTGATTGATGTCCGGGTTTGACAGGACTTTGGACAACTCGAAGTGAGCTTTCGCCTCCAAATAGAGCGCCCCCTCATCGTTGCAATCGATGGCGGCGTTGCCTTTCACCCTTCCCCCTAGAGGGTAGAAGAGGGAAAGCGCCTGCGAGAGCGAAGTTTTCAAGTTTCCTGTGACCGAGGCAGAGTTCGGCACCGCCTTGTTGTCGGGAGCCGAGTAGAACAGGATGATTGGAACACAAAGCGGGGGAGCCAGTTGGTCAAGGAGACAGAGCTTGAAGTTTCTGAGGTGAGATGGAGTTGGAGAGGAAGGCTTGATGGTCTCTGTGGAGACAACCTCAACTTTCATGGCCATGTCTGTTGGAAATTGAGAGATTTGAAAGAATCCTTTTAAGTTTCTTTCTGGAGAAAGTGTGCTTCTTTGGTGCTATTTAATTGCAAGATCTTGTAGTGTATATATAGAGAAAAGGGAGGAGAAATTGGCAATTTTTGGGTCATAGGCTCATAGCATCATGGCTAAACAAAGAGCACGTGCTGATCTTTTGTGGGAGCTTGACATTTTGAAGGATAAATTAGATATGATGTAAAACCCAATTTGAAGAATTTATCAAGCTTCTTTCTTTGATATAAGTGCGGCAAAAATATCATATATTTATATACTTAATATCCTGCTATAAAATTATTGACATATTTAATCGCACAATGCTTAAAACATATTGGATCCATATTCTTTTAATTGGATCCAAGTATATATATATGCAGTCTACATCCTCAATCTATTCAAAAACAGGTCGTCCATGCCGTAAATGACATTTTTTGGATTTTTCCAAAGGGTAATTTGGGCATTACGAGGGCCTAATCATTCGTGAAAAGCCTAATTTTAAGCCAATAGAGTAACGCCTTATTTGTTTAATAATTCTAGCCTTGCACTAGCATTATAACGATATTAATTTTATCTAGGGGGGTTTAGAACCCCTACCAATCGTGCCAATTGTCTTCAATTCATACCATCCTGAGATGTCCGCAAGCCTACGAGCTTGAATCTCAATAAAATTTCCTCACAAATTAGTAACTTGAATTTGAGAGAATATAATAATTGAAAGGGTTAATATCACAAAAAATCCCAAACTGGTATAACTGTGACAAAATTACCCTGTACTAATTTTTTAACAAAAAAAAAACCTTAAACTAATATACTTGCGATAAATTTACCACAAACTAAATATTTGACCACAAAAGATTCCAAACTGGAGGTGTATCATTAGCAGCTTGCTTGTTTCCAGACCTTTAAGTTATGTCTCGAGTTTAAGCCTACTAAATAAGCACAGTCCAAAATTAAAGCAAGCGAGTAGGGCCGGACAAATAACATTCAACCGGTTGTTTTCTGGTTTGTCTCTTCCTGCATTATTTTCGTGCATGCGTGCTAGCTGGATAAATAACAAGAGAAGACTTCCACTGGCTACACTTGTTTAATAAAGAATAATATCCCTTCTTTAGCATTAAAAGGGAGATGCATGGATACAACCGAGAAGATGAATTCTTCAATGCACACGTAATTGAGGGGGGTTTCGTCTTGTCAAAGGAGAAGGAAGATCTCCTTCGTGATGGCTACATCGTTATGGCCGCATGTGAAGGATAAGGGAGCCCATGCCGTTACTGCAAAAGAAAAGAGCAAGAAAGTTGTAATGATGGCCCATGTTTATTCATGATGGCCCCTCTCTATATAAGAAGAGGAGTTCTCATCAGAAGAATAAATGCGAAGTTAGAGCACGGAGAAGAAGAATAGGTGCTCTGAACACCGTGTATTTTGTACAGTTTACTTACATCCATTTTGAGTGGTTTAAGTTCGATTAAACACTTCGGGTTTCAGGTGTAAATTATGGGGCTGGGAAACACTTGAGCGTGAGTGATTATAACTTGTAATTTTCCGTTTTGTGGTGGATTATTTGTTGGCTCTCCCCGTGGACGTAGTTTCTGATACTCGAACCGAACCATGTAAATCTCTCGCTTCCTTTATTGTTCCTCGTATTATTTTCTCTTATAATTTCGTGTCACTATGTAATTGCAAAGATCTAGTCCATGTAACAACAATTGGTATCAGAGCTGAGACTTTGTAATTATGTCTAGAAAGAAATTTGAAGTTGAGAAATTTAATAGGAGGAATTGTTGGGGTTAACAATACAACCAAGGGGGGGTTGAATAGGTTGAATGGGAACTATAAGAAACTTTTGTGGAATAGAACAAGTAAACTTCAAATGATAATAGAAACAGATTATAGATATCAGGTGCACGTGTTGTTGATGAATAGAAAGTGATAATGATGAACTTGTAATGCTGATACTGAAGAGATGAAAGATAGCACATAGAGATTTATAGTGTTTGGCTTTATTCCAAAATCTACATCCACTCTCCACAACTAATAGTCACAATAAGGCTGTAATCCACTAGTAATTTTCAAGACAAGTTGAAATCAACACATACTGCTCCTATCAATTAATAGATCACACTATCAAAAAGCAAGTACTGCTATCATCTTATACAGTTGTTCTTATCATGATTACAAACAGTAGGAACACTACACATAGAGTAATCATCAATACACAACAACTATAAACAAATACAGAACGAAGAAGAACCCTCAAAGCACTAAATTAGTTTTGTTTGTTTCCACCCAATGCCACTACTTTTCTTGGATTGAATATATAGACATCCAACCTCATATGATGGTTCCCAACAAAAATTCTGCAAGTAGCCATTGGTTCTATCGTTGCTTGCAACAAAGCTCGCTCAAATTCGTTAGAATGGCTTTCTGTCATCGGAAACGTCTCTCTGACAATGGCGGTTTCCCAAATTAGTGTCAGTGTACTTTTGTCTGGGTCTGTCTCCAACTCATTAATGCGAGAACTACTCTCAATCAACTCTGCAGCTCTTTTTCGAATTCTAAACCTTAAAGATAACCGGTAGACACCAAATCGAGATTGGAAAGAGGGCGTCACATGTCCTCCACCTCTCTGATATTGGCAGCTGCTCCTACTAATAATCTGCTGCTCCCGATAATGATCAACTTATCTATCTTCTGGTCTTGCCAAGCATATTAGCGATTATGACTCTATCAAGTCATTCACCTTCATGGTCCTTCCAAGTTTTACTGAACATTCTCATTTTAGGCTTGTTCACCATCACCATGTCCATCTAATCTGTTCACCAAATCTTAGTACCTCTAAGTCATCACGAACATCCCCATTCTTCTCAGTTTGTTCACCCTCGATTAAGGTTTTTTAAGATATTCACCTTATCTCAAAGTCCTTCTAGCTTGTAAACATCTCGACACCAATTCATTGTTCACCCTTGATATCGGTAGCAATCCATCGATATTAGGAAAGCACTCTTGATAGTGGCAAGCGCTCCTTATAGTAAAATCACTAGGTGCTAATAATGACATCATTTGCATATTGGCTTGTGCATATTTCACCTGGTACTTCTCAATCAATACACACATTAGTAGTATTTGATTATTTCTTTAGAACAACATAGGGGATTTTTTCAACACGAACTTTGGATTGTGAAGTGTTAAGATGTATGTGCTATTAACAACTCAAGATTTAGCCAATGCATTGGAGGGTATGGAAAAGTAGCCCAAAATAATGAAAGATGTTGAAAAGGAAGAATTAATGGGGAAGACAAGGAGTACGACCCTGTTGAACCTATCGGATGAAGTGTTAATAGAGGTGGCTGAGAAGAAGGATGCCATGACACTATGGGAAAAACTCTAGACCCTCTATGTAACAATGGGTTTGAAAAATCAGTTATACATGCTGAAGAGAATGTTTCAGTTTCATTATACTAAAGGTACATCCAACGAAGCTCACCTAGATGAGTTCAACAAACTCATGATGAATTTGAAGAACGTCGGTGAGATACTAGATGATGAAAAATAAGGCATGAAGCTATTGGTGTCTCTACCAACGTCGTAGAAGCACTTTATTGACTCACTATTGCAAGCACGTACTACACAGAAGAGGTAAAATCAGTCTGATTCTCTAAGAAGTGGCAGAGGAAGTTGCGAGATGATGGTCTGACGTTGGAGGTCTAGCAGCAAAGCTAAAAACATATCAAAATTGCGACATAGAAATTCCAAGGGTCGGGTTTAACTGTTTTGAGTGTCACGAAGAGGGACACATGAGGAGAGACTGTCAAAAGTTGAGAAATAAAAACGATGGGCATAATGTTTCAAGCAGTGTGGCAAATGTTGCCTAGGAGAGTACTACTGATGCCAAGTTTGTTTTATGTGTGACTACTAGTTCGACTGGAGACGAACGAGTCCTAGATTAGAGGTGTTCCTATTATATGACGCCTCATCGAAACTGGTTCATTACCGACAGAGCTATAGATGGTGGTAGTGTTTTTGATGGCAAATAATACAGTCTGCAAGATTGTGGGATAGAGAGTTTGAATTTAGATGCACAATGGCGTAAAGTGCACACTGACAAAAGTGAAAGCTCAAGATGAACCTTATTTCTCTAGGTACACTCAATGACATCGGGTGCAAGTACAATGCTGAACATGGAGTTGTTGAAGATGGAGCTCCATTCATGAACCTTATTTCTCTCGAGGTGCCAGGAGAATTGGGAAAGATCGTGAATGGAGCTGCTATAATTTCATTAGTTGAGTTAGACACAAAATCGACTTAGTTATGGTACATGTGATTATAGCACATGAGTGAGGCAAGTATGACGATGCTGAGTGAGAGATAGTTGGTGAAGGGTTAGAAGATAAGGAAGCTGGATTTGTGTGAGCACTATATCTTTAGGAAGCGGTGCCGAATTAAATTTAGTATAGCTATTCATTCAACCAAGAAACTAGTTGAATAAATTTACTCAAATGTATGGGGCCCATCTCCAATTCCTTTGAAAGGCGGTGTCCAATATATGCTAACATTCATTAACGACTATTAAACTTGTAAAATGAGTGAGTCGAGTCGAGTTGAGTTTGGGTTGGGTCATAAATGTTCCAACCCAAATTGACTCATTAACCTGTTTATGACCCATGTATTCACAGTGCAAATTTCTCGGCCTATATCCAACTCAATCCATATTGCTAAAACTCTTCCATATTTAACCAAATTTAGAAAAAACTAGTTTCTTATGATCTTTTATAAAATTTATATTGGTAAAACACTTCAATGCAATACAAATCTAGTGAATAATTATTATAATTTTTTTAAAAATAAAATTTAAAAAAATCAAAAATCAAAAAATTGAAAAAAATTGAAAATGATTTGTTTATGATTCACTTAAACTAGTTAGGCTACCCATTTATGATCCATTTGAAACCCATTTAAGTCCCATTAAGTTGTTAGGTAACCCATTTATGACCTACACCATTAAAGATGAGTTAAACCCATTTTGCCACCTCTAAAGATTATTCGAGCTAGGTATAAGTATACTTCCTAAAGTACAAATCCGAGGTGTTCCATCGGTTCAAGAATTTTAAGACACTGATTGAGAAGAAGTCTAGTAAACTAATAAGTGTTTGAGAATCGATAATGGCATGGAGTTCTTTGGTAACGATTTTACCGAGTTCTGCTAGAAAGAAAGGATTGCGAGATACCGCATAATTTTCAGGATACCACAGTAGAATGGCGTTGTAGAATGTAAGAACAGAACTCTACTTGAGCGAGCTCGGCGCATACTCTCGCACTTAGGATTGGCAAGGAATTTTGGGTCGAAGTAGTGACATGGCATGGTACCTACTTAATTGATGTCCATCATTTGTTATCGAGTGGAAACTCCTAAGGAAGTATGGTCAGTGAATCTTGTTGATTACTCCGAATTACGAATATTCGGATTTCCAGTGTATACTCATGTGAGTGATGGTAAGCTTGAGATGAGGGGGAAGAATTGCTTATTTATGGGTTATGCACAAGAAATGAAAGGTTACCGGCTAGGGTTCACTAATCCCAGAACACCTAGATTCTATGAGACTGCTATGGTTTGAAAGAGGGGTCTTGAGACACAACCAGCAAAGCAAGCGCATCATGGTGTTGATAGTGTGTTGGAGCTTTAGGTGAAGCCTTTAGAGACCTTAGAAGTAATAGAGGATGAGACTACAAATGAGGCTGCATTTCCTGATGACAGTGATGCAAAACAACTAGCAGAGCCGCAACATAGTATTTCCAAGGGAAGACAAAGAAGGCAAATAAAACCACAGGTACGTTATGGTTATTTAGATATTGCCTATGTGTTGACTCTAGGTGATGAGGTAGAGATAGATTGTCGGGTGCAAAACAATCGAGGCAGCAAGGTACAAGGCAATACTTATTGCAAAGGGGTATACTCAGCGAGACGGTATTGACTATAATGAGTCGTTCTCTCCTATAGTAAGACATATTTCTATTCATCTAGCACTTGTCTTAGTTGCTGCTCAAAATCTCGGATTGGAGTAGTTGAGATAAAAACGGCGTTTCTTTACGATGAGTTGGAGGAGCGAATTTACATAAGGATTTGTTATTCTGGGTAAGGAAGACTATGTTTGCTTATTATAGAAATCTTTGTACGGATTGAAACAATCTCCTAGGTAGTCGTATAAGTGTTTTGATACTTTTATGGCTAGTCATGATTATTCAAAAAGTCAGTTGGATTGCTATGTTTATTTTAGGAGATTTGAACATTGGTAGTTGATTTATTTGTTATTGTATGTTGATGACATGTTAATAGCAACTAAACCAATGTTTGATATTGATGTGCTGAAATGGCAGTTGAGTGTTGAGTTTGAAATAATAGATTTAGGTGTTGCTAAGAAGATATTGGGTATGGAGATTTTGTGTGCTAAAGTTGCAGGAGTGTGTCGCGACTTACCCCCTGTCCCGATCGGGTTTAGGCCAAGAAGTATTTGTTGATGGATATGAACAACGATTGATTTGTTTGAAAGACAAACCAAATGGTTCATTAATCCAAAGACCGAGGCACTCCCAAGTCTCATACCTCGCATGATGAGAATTTTTTAATTTACGCATTCGATTGGAGTCGCCACTAGCCATAATCAAGGGTTGGCTAAAAACCTTGATTGAGATGCGGGAGTGTCGTCTCAATAAGTGCAAAAATCAGAGATCCTAAAATTCAGGGACTTGATTACACTAACGATCTAACTAGTGTCCTTTCAGTACCTAAACTTGAATTTCCGCAAACTAACGTACCAGGTAATCTATAAAAAAAGCTAAGATCTCACCTAACCGTTCTAAAAATAGAAAACAACAATCAATGTATTAAAAGCGTGCAACCAGATAATTACGAAGAAATAAACAACCAGCGACCTAGCATCGTCTCTAAAAAGAAAATGCAATCAAAAGCCCTAAAGTAAAGCCCTAATGGCTTATCCGATTTTTGGGAATTTTTTAGAGGGTTTTTCAATTTTTACAAGTTTTAAACTAAGTCTAGAATGAGATTAAACACTTAGATCTAGTGAAATTAAGCCAAAAACTAATTTCTGAACATTTCCTAATTTTTTGGATTTTTCTGAATTTTTTTAAATTTTTTTAAAAATTTTAATTTTTTAATGTTTTTTAATGTTTTTCAGACTTTTTAATATTTTTTGGACTTTTAAACATTTTCGAATTTTTTTAAATTTTAAAATATTTTTCAAATTTTTATTAATAAAATAAAGATTCCGGACTGGGTCCCTAACCCGATCCGCCCGACAATTGACCCGACTCTCTCTGACCGCCCCGGATCCTTTTTTCCTATTTCTTTTCTGATTTTTTTTTCTCTTTTCTTTTTGCCTTTTTTTTTTCCTTTTTTTTCTATTTTTTCTTTTTAGTTCCTCTTTATTCCATTTTGTCTTTTCTGGTCTTCCTCCCTCCTTTCGTGCCTTCTGCCCAGAACTTCTTCACCGAGACTTCTTCTTCACGCCTTCACCTTCAAGCTTGCCGGTGGGTTCCCTCGCCGAGAGTCTGCCATGTCAGACGAACTCTCGGCGAGGCCACGGCCAGTCCAACATCAGCCACCACGTCGCCGCCAACGGCCACCACCCCATCGGACCGTCGGCTAACACAAAAATGGCACCGTCGGTGGCTATTTTCCTCACCAAATCCATTCATCTTAAACAAAAATTCTCTTGCCAAACAAACACGCATATCTCATTCAAATAGCGAAGAAAAGGACTCACGCTAGCGGCCTCTAACCGTGGGCAACGCTCCGGCAAGAGGAATGATTTTCTGGTGGAGGCTCCGTCCACGGCCGAGTCCGTATGTGCGAATCGCGACAAAACCACATGAAAGACAAAGAGAACTTGAAGTTAGTGACAGTATTAGAGCAAATCGCGCATAAATCGAAGTTGTGGAGAGTCGGTTTTACATAAAAGTATTCGGCGTTCGTTTGGGCATTTTATCAAATGGGTAGTGTGCAACTCAGACCATCACTTCCAAGCCTGGATTTACCATCATTTAAGGCCTAAACCTAATATATTAAGTGTTAACTCGACCATTTTTCATCACGAATCAATGTGGGTTTCGCATGGTATGCTCAGAATCTCTTTGGTTGGTTTAACATTCCTAAAAAAACAGTAGGCGGAGAAGAAACAGGGAATTTTTTGGAGGCTTACCTGGTTTGAGCGACTCCTTCGACGATGAACGACAGCCAGCCGGTGGAGCTTTCGATGGGAACGATAGCTACCCAAACGGACCATCGGCGAACGAGCAAAAATCTCTCTTTTTTTTTATTCTCTCCTAGTCTCGGCTCTCCTTCAAAACCAGCTCCCCCGTTTCTCTCTCGGCTCCCCCCTTTTAGACTCCTGCCGGTTCTCTCTCTTCAGCGTCCCTCCAAAATGGCCTCGGGTCAGTCAACTAAGCCAGCTCCTTTTCTTTCTATTTTCAGCTCGAAGCTGCCATTGATCAGTCTGTCCACGTTGCTCTGCTCTGCTTCTTTGTCTCGGTCAGAACGCACGCGGGGAGCAGAGAGGAAGAGAGGAAGAGAGGGAAAATGAGCTATGGGCTGAGAAAGCCATGGGCTGGGCCAGGATTAAACAAAATAAGAGAAATAGGCCAAGGAAAGAAAGGAAGGGAATGGGCTCAGGCAGGACGGGCCGGGTCAAACTGGCTCGAATCTTCTTCTTCTTCTTTATTTTTTTAAACTATATTTTTAATTATTACATTTTTTATAATTAGAAAAAAAAATTCCAATAGACCCTATTAATACAGATGCACCTAATAACTATATGCCATGCAATTTAATGAAAATATTTTTGTTTATGGATTAAAAATTAATCCCTAATTTTCTGTGCAGTTAAACTCTAAATGACTAGGTAAAATTTAGGTGTCAACAGAGTGTTATAACTGTCTCAAAAGAAAAATATTTAAACGATTATGGCATGATTAACATATAGATGACAAAATCTGTAAGTACACCTTTAGTTGCACACTTTAAGCTTTCTAGTAAGTTATCACTGTAAACTGAGGAGAAGGAGGAACATATGTTATATGTTCCTTATTCTAGTGCAGTGGGAAACATTATGTACGCCAATGTATGCACTAGACCTGACATTTCACAAGTTGTGAGCATTGTTAGCCGTTACATGAAACGTCTACGTAAGTCTCATTAGGAAGATGTAAAGTGGATCATCAGATATTTAAAGAGAACAGCGGACATTTATGTAGTATACAGAAGGGATGGATATGGCAGTGAGACCATATCCATCCCTTCTTACAAGATCAAGTCAGTGACTTGGATGAGCGTAGATCTTTAGCAGGATACATGTTTACGTTAGCAAGTGGTGCAGTGAGTTAGAATGCGTTCTTACAAGATTATGTTTCCTTATCTTCAACTGAGGTAGAGTACATGACACTGACCTTTGTGGCGAAAGAGGTGATATGACTAAGAAGTATGCTCTTAGATTGTGACAACCAAGATACGATATATTTTGCTTATAATCCAATTTATTACGAGAAAACAAAGCATATCGTGTATCATTTTGTCCGAGATGTCATAGCAAATGTTAAGGATATTGTGAAAAATATAGTGACAATGGAGAATCCCGCAGACATGATGACGAAGCTTGTTCCTTTGGCAAAGCTCAAGCTTTGCTCGAACTCAATTGGCATACAGAGAGATTAAGTGCTTGCAAGGGCGCTGGAATAGCTGTCATGGATAATGAACACTATATCTTGACTGCAAATATCTTGAGTTTGAGCCCATTAAATAAGCACAATCCAAAATTAAAGTAACCGAGTATGGTCAGACAATTAATGTCCAACCGGTTGTTTTTTGTTTTGTCTCTTCCTGTTTTAATTTTGTGCATGTGTGCTAGCTGGACAAATAGCAGAGAAGACTTCCATTGGCTACACTTATTTAATGAAGAAGACTATCCCTTATTTGGCATTAAAAGGGAGTTGCATGGAGACAATCGAGAAGATGAATTCTGTTAGAATTAAGTGCACAAACACAATAAAATAGAGAATAAAGGCGAAAAAGAGAAATTGAGACACAAGATTTATCTCGATTGACCCTTAAACAGAACTCCTGTGACTGTTTATTGATGGAAAGTATGAATCATACCCCAACAAATTCTTCAATGCACACGTAATTGAAGGGGGTTTGTCTTGTCAACGGTGAAGGAAGATGTCCTCATGATGGCACATCATTATGGCCACACATGAAGGATAAGGGAGCCCATGCCATCGAAGAGCTCTTGGAAAAGAAAAGAATAAGGAAGTTGCAATGATGGCCCATGATTATTCACGATGGCCATTCAGTGTAACTTTCTTCTCATTCACGACAAGCCTCTCTATATAAGAAGAGCTAGAGTTTTCATCAGAAGAATATATGCGAAGTTAGAGCACGAAGAAGAACAGGTGCTCTGAACGCCGTGTTCATTTTGTGCAGTACATTTACATCCATTTAGAGCGTTTTAAGTTAGATGAAACGCTGTAGGTTTTAGGCGTAAATTATAGGGCTGGGAAGCACTTGAACGTTGGTTCCGACGCTTGGACTGAACCACGTAAGTCTCTCGTGTCTTTTATTGTTCATCGTATTTTTTTCGCTGATAATTTCGTGTCATGATATAGTTGCAAAGATCCGGTCCGTGTAACAACACAGACTGTCTGTCCATCTTTGCAGGAGTGTCGGCCATCATCTTTCCTACCCAGGTGAGTTTCATCAGGATATGCTTGAGGGAAAGGAAGTGGGTGTCGCCGTCTGAGGAATTCTCTTGTGCCATTCTTATCTTAAATCTAGTTTTGAACGGATTTCGAAGTATAAGGTGCTTTTTAGGAGCTATGTTTTAGAAACCGTGAAAAAACAAACGTAATTCACAAGTCAAAAATAAAAATTTACCTGGATGAAGTTTATAATATACACAATAAAGGCGATATAATACAAGTAAGAGTGGTGCTCAACCCGTGGTAGTGTGCATATATAGCTTGGAATCCCCTCTCCACCAGTTCAAAATGTCCAACTTGTATATCCAATTCTGTGAATCTCCCCCACGTAGTCCACAGTCAAGTATGTATTCGCCTCTTGAGCGAATGACCCTGAAGAGCTAGAGGAACTTTCACTTGCAGTCTTCGTTTTATGTACCAAACTCCATCCGCCTGACCAAAGTGCACTGGATGAGGACGACAACACGGGTTGTGGGGCGGAGGCTCTCGTACAAAATCGGGTGGTGTTCGCATCATACATAGAGTACATTAATCTCTTCCCCATGACCGTGATCTTTATCCCATTTGGACCGCCTTTCTTACCCCCAAATTTTCGTATTATAGAAGAAGCACAGTTGTGAGCCCTTCCACTTGCTGTCCCGGGTCCAGTACAGCAGACAAAAGAAAGGTAGAATGTCCATGTAATATTTAAGGAATCTGTCCTTCACGGCATCCACAACAGGTTTTAAAATAAAAGCATCACCCTCTTTCTTGGGTAATCGATCCGATATCATGAGCAGAATGAAAAGAGAAAGGGGAGTAGATGATTGATGACATATGAATAACGTCTTCCTGTATCATTAAAAGGTTTGAATAAATCCCTAAAGCTTCCAGCAACCATGTCTGTATTAAAACGGGTGTAGTTGCACTTTCGTAATGAAAAGTAGAAAACAAGGTGAGATATGCCATATCATGCATATCCTATCTAACATTAGATAAGTTAATTTCACCTAGCGCTCGCGACTAACGGATATGAACAGGTTTCTCTCTACATTGCATGAAAAAGTGCTTCGACTCATGCCCTCTAAAGGGCGATTACCTAATACGTGCAATCGAATCGTCTATACTAGTTACTTTATCCGAAAAAAGAAACAGTAAGCCCATGTTTCATTCACGAACAGATTAACTATGCAGGGTACCTGAAAAAGTCACCATTGCAAGTAGGTATAAGTTGTGGTATCAGATTCCTAACCTTGGAGTTGTTAACACTAGCATTAGCCAAGGTAATGGAGAAAGCTTTATCCGCAGTACCAGACAGTGGAACAATCTTACGATTTCTACAACAATATCTTCACCAATATAAGGAAATTCTAGCACTTTAAAAGTCGGAGCCCTCTTTTCCAAGACCTAATTCGGACCGATGCAATGGCTTGTGGCACGACAAGTTGTTAACCTGCTAGTGCCAGTCCACAAATCGGAAGTCGAGGAAATTCGAAAATCACCTGTGAAAAATAATGTACCAAGGCGATTTCTTTCGTTTGTACCACCTCCTCATGTGACTTGGCGAATCCCAAATGTTCCGCGAAACTAAAAGGTTGCTCGGCGGCAAGAATTTGGTGTGCTAAGTCTCTTTGATTCGTCTCCTCGTCATATTCGAATGAGCTTGCGGTTTGACCAGTTGCATTTGAAGAGTTTTCGCTGCCATTTTATCGTGTTTTATTCGGGACCTTTTCATGTGGCATATCCTACTCAATGACTTTCCACCTGAAATCGCTGCCACTTATCGTGCAGACACGTCTTCATTATGCCATTGCCAAGTTTGCAATCAAATGTCCGCCTCACAGTCAACGTTTTCCTCCGTGAACATGGCTCGGGGCCGTCGGGCTAGGGGTTCCATCGGCCGTTCGCCCTCCCAATCGTTTGGTGGCGGTGTATTGTCATTGTTATCGACATGGTGCTCCCGGTCAGCCTTCACCTGACCGGTCTCCTCGTGCTCGTGGGATTGGCGGCTCACTGCACTCGGGTAACTGGCTTTCCCCCAAAAATTTATAGAAACAGTGGTTATTCTCCGATGTCGATGGAGTTACATTGATCGGTGTCAAGGTCAATGATGAGAGGGAAAGCACCGGCCTTTCCCCTACCAAGCTCGGCCCACCACAGCCGCTAAGTCACCCTAGATCTGTCGCTCGCGCCAACGATGAAAGAGGCACGACAACCTCCTTTTTCTGTCCCCTATCACTGCCTTGTAATTATTTCTTTTTTAATTTCGTTTGTTTCGCAAAAAATAAATAATTGAAAAAAGAAAATTTCCTAAAATGATCGTTTATATTGCTTGAAATAATTCGTTAATAAATGATATTTTTAAAGAAATATTTTCCAAATCATCATATTTTCCATGGTGGCCGCATAGAATTGTTTCATCAAGATGATGATCGTTCGATCAACAAGTGGCAGGATTAAATAGGGAAACACCAGCAAAAGATTGAGTGATGACCCTGACGAGATTGAATAGTCGAAATATTTTTAGAAAACCTGGTCATCTTTTATAGGGAAAGATAGGTTTTCTCAAAAAATGGCTTAAAGTGAACGTTGTTTCAAATAAGGGCCCAAAGTGGCCATTTAATTTCCAATAAGGATTTGAAATGGTTATTTGATCTCAAATAAGGATCAGAGCTCACAAGCCGGCTAAATCTTCGCCAGTCGACGAGCATATGCTTATTCCAACAGAACGAGCAGGGGCATTTTTGTCCAAATACATTTTTTTATTTTCTTTTCTTTTCCTATCATTTCACTATTCATCTTCTTCATGCTTGGAGGGAAGTTGCAAGTCTCCATGGTGATGATGATGGATAGAAACGTGGCTGAAGTTCTAAACACATGACACGCACACAATCTCTCTTGTCAGAGAGAGCTAAACACATCATCATCAGGAGATTAGAAAGATTGTGTGTTGTCTTCCTCATTCACCCACATCGACCTGCGTTCAAATGTCTTCCATGGCCGTCGGCACCAGACAAGCTGTCCTCTCTCTCTCTCTCTCTCTCTCTCTCTCTCTCTCTCTCTCTCTCTCTCTCTCTCTCTCTCTCTAGACGTAAAAGCATATATTTAACTTGTTTCCAAAAGCCAGCTTCTAATAAAGTCACCTTTGATCTCTCTCTCCATACCTTGATTTCGCCCCTAAAAGGCCATGGGATAGCTCCGACAAGAAAACCCTCAATTGCCGGTCTGGCAACCGCAAGTAGCACGGCTCCAACAAGAAGAAGAAGAAGAAGAAGAAGAAGAAGAAGTTTGAGTCGGCGGCGCTGCCCTCCCATGTCGGCTAGAAGTAGGAAAAGCAGAAGAGACCGGAGGCTGCTGCAAAGCTCGTCCATCATGCCGCTAACCAAGTGCAAGCTTCGGCTGTTGAAACAAGAGCGGATTAGGGACTACTTGCTCATGGAGGAGTTCATGACAAACAAAAATCGGCTCAAGCCATGGCCACGAGCAATGACAACTCGTTCTATCACACCTCAAACCTTCGAGTGCGTGAACATCCTTCCTTGGTCATGGAATTATGACGTCTTAGGATGCGTCGCTGACCCATTCATTTTAACTTTTAATTAAACGCAAGCGGAAGCAATCATAATCCACCCAATCACAATAACATGGATAGTCAGGAAAACACACGTCAATATATACAACATCATCAGCAATATATCGGGTTAACGTATTACAAGTCTGCTACGCGAACCTTCCTAATTACAACCACAAAAGGTAGGGGGTTAACCTAGCTCCTCTATCTATGAGGGCAACCTCAAAAGGTGTTCCCTCTCAAAACAGCCAGTTCCTATGAAACGCAATGCATACTCATACTGAAAAATGATTAACAATAACAAGTGAGATAAATTTGAGTAAGTTAACGACCTAAGCCTTAGTTAGGAAGTCAACTCACCTTGGGCGCTTCTAAACATATAGCAACCTATTGATGGCAAATCAATAGCAAAGCAACCCTTGCTTTGCCTTAACTACAAACACAAGCAGGTTACCAGCCTAGGATAAACAAATGTGCTATTAAACAATCGCAGGCATTCTTACCTTGCCTTGGCACACACACACGCCCTGCACATTATAAACCAAGATGTGCAATCATAATGCAACAAGCACATAATATATAATTAGAACACGCTCAGTAATTCTCATGTACAAGGTATCCACACGAATCCTGATTATGAAGTGAAACTGTCTTGGCTCATCCCATACCGTGCCTCACAATTTCATCTTATAATCAGGAGCAATGCAACATACTCTTTCACGCGAGTTCCGATTATTACGACCTCACAGGGCCACGGCACAACCCGCGTTACTCGGATCAGGTTGGCCCTCTACTAACCATCATAACTCTACAATCGCTCCAATGAGCATAAAACAAGATCACATAATTGCATAAACCAGAGGCATATCATAGTGCATAAGCAGACGCAACATCAATTTAATAATCCAGACACGTAATTATCACTTTCAGGCACAATGCATTCATCCATGCATGTTGCACTCATAATAGTCCAAATTATTAAACAACCACTCGGGACCACAACCGAACCCCCGCCGGTGTCTTCCGGCATAATTGGGCATTATCTCACTCTGTCGGGCACGGCAACGTATGGAACCACCTCCCAGACGGTAGTCCATAAGGAGCATTGGTCTGGCCTCAATCGCAACACGACATTGTCTAGAACCCCTGCTTAAACGGCATCCGAATTCCTACCGGGCATCGTCCAGAACCCCCGCCTAGATAGACTTTCATGTGACCATGCAGACACACCAACTACTCAAGCCAATTCTTTATCTTTGAATTTAGCCAATACAACAGGGTATATGATGTGTTATTCTCTTATGCATAATGTCACATATTGCACTCAATTTTCGCACAATGTTACACATTGCATCCCCAGACCCCCACTGGGAGACAAGCTCCTTTATGTGATCACATGAGTATAACAAATACACAACTCATTTATAACTTAGCATTTAGCCAAATGCAAACGTAATTCGTGCTTACACAATAAATTACTGTAACTTCTATACATAAAAATGCAGTAATAAATTCACACGTGATCACATATATACAATCAACCCATCAAACTTTGCACGATTTCTTTTTTAAATATCCTTGCCCCATTTAACTCATAAAACCGGACATATAAAACCGACACCTCGGGGTTTTTCACTTATATGTCCTTAAAAACCCTTTTAAAAATTAGTAAACAAGGTTTATAAAATGGGCAAGTATTTTTCAAGGCATCACAAGTTTGAAAGCACATAAAGCATGTATAGAATCACCACAATTCACTATCACTTATCGCCTAATTGCGATAATTCATTAAATAAAAATCGATAACTTATTGCTCCCCTCACGATAAACTTATCATCCATTCCTCGATAGCCTATCGCCTATTTGGTGATAGCTTATCACCAAATTCCCGATAGCTTATCACCAAATGCCCGCTAGCCTATCACCCCTTTGGTGATAGCTTATCAATCCTTTTCCCGATAACTTATCATCCATTTGATGATAGCTTATCACATTTTCTCGATAATCTAACAAGTCCACTTATCACCTATCGCGATAGCTTATCACTTCCACCTATCACTTGTCGCGATAGTTTATCAACTAATCCCTCATTAATTAGCACTAAGCAAGATTAACTTAGTCTAATCTAACCCTAAGTAATTTTAACATACTAATCAAGGGATTAGAGCGTTAACTCACCCGAAAACGATTCCAACCACATGGGCGCGACGGCGGCGGCAACGACTACTCGTGGCTCGGTCCGAAAAAGACACGGGATGATGACGGATGGCTTAGACAGCAGCCAACAGCTTCGGTGTAGGCTGATTGGCTTACGGTTTAGGCAGATCGGCAGTGGGAACCGCCCGAACGGACAGCACACGAGGATGGGCGATCACGGCGCGCGACTAGTGGCTCGGTGGTGGTTCCACGACAGTAAAACTAGCTGCTAGAGGGGCGGTGATGGTCGTGGCCGAAGGTGGTAGCAAAGAAGAGAGGGAACGAAAAACGCGAGAGAGAGAAAGAGAGAGAGAGAGAGAGAGAGAGAGAGAGAGAGAGAGAGAGAGAGAGAGAGAGAGAGAGAGAGAGAGAGAAAATGAGAAAAATGAGGAGGAGAGAGAAAGTGTCTTGCAACAAAATCAAGAATGGATGGCCAAGATTAACAGTTGCTCACCAAGCCAAGATTGATGGCTAGGATTCCATCTTGCAAAAGCTTCTAGAAGGGGCAATTTGGTAATTAAGAGAATATGAGAAGGGTATTTTGGTAATTTCAGCCCTTGACACTATTCACGTGCACTATTCACACGGGCTTGGGCTTGGGCCAACAAACTTGGGCTTAGGCTTGAACGAGCCCAATTTGAGGAAAAATGGGCTTGAAAAGGTTAATGGGCTTGAAATGGGTTTAAAAGGCTTAATGGGCTTAAACTTGGGCTAAGCCCATTCTTCTTGGGCCGAAATCCTCCTTGGCCCCTGTCATTGGGCTTAGTTCCTTGCGGGCTTCTCGTCTTGGGCTTTTCTTGTACAAATTCTCAAAATTTCTTAATTTGGGCCCACAAGGGCAAAATCGTAATTTCCCTTCCATTGGGCCCTCATGGCCAACTATATAGTCCATGAGGCCCATTGGGATTTGGCCTTGGGCGTGAGGCCCATCTCGACCCGCTTGGGCGGCCCACTCATGGCTTCCATTCTCGGTCCAATAATTCATTTGTCCAAAATTTTAGGGCCCAAAACTATTCCTGGGGTCTACCTCGACTAACTCGGAAAGAAAAGTCTCTGAGCTATCTTTAATCGAAAACCTATAACCGGACCAAGGCTCGTGGCTAAACTTGAATGGGAAGTGCCCCTAATACGGCCTATTCGAGTTAGGCGGCCTCTTGGGGTGTCGCTAGCGTGACTTATGGTTGATTCGTCAATCAATCCACATTTAAGTCTTGTCAACCCACGGATCATTCTCGGTTATCATGTAATTGTGCAGAATTGACTTATTTACTCAGGGTATGTGGTCTTGTGAAATTAGCTTAGGATCGTTTGGGTTTAGTATAATGATTGTGCGGAATCGCCCGCAATCAATCTCTGGTTCATAGATGTAAGGCAATTCTCTCATTACTTGGATGTCTAATTAACCCACCGTAAACTGATTAATGATGACTCTTAAATAATAATCATTTATAGGTTAAAAACCTAAACCACAAGTTACGATATGATATGGGCTTGGGAGAGCCCGAGTTAAGTCTCAAATCTAGACTTAGCGCAGGCTAGGCTAGCCCCACATTTCCTCACGAAATTGGTCGGACAGACTAGCGACTCCACTGGGGACATCCAATTATCATGCTTTTAATTAAGTGAACTTAGGCCAGAAATTTTACCCTGTTCAAAAACATTTTTTGGCAATAAGGATTCCAGGTATAACCCTAACATTAAGGTGTTAAATGTTTATGCAGTTGGGAGTTATAAGGGGTGTTGTGATTGTAAACCCCTTGTTTTGCAAATTTGGAGTTTGGGAGTGAATGTTTATTTCCTGAACGTTTGAAGCGGTGCTTGTTTATAAATTTTGTGCATACTTTAATAATTTAGCACTACACTGTTGTATGCACAGCCATGTCATCGGATCTGGGCTACTATAGGGCATTTTATGATGGTGTTAAGAAAGATACGACCTCAGACGCGAGACCGCAATGTAGAGGCTGTCTTTCTTTTCGCCGAAATTTCTTTTCGGGTGTCGTAAAGTGTCTATTTTTAGCTGCTATCTACATGACTATAAGGTGTTCCTTTTAACTGAGTCGAGGTTAGAAGGACCTAACAAAACCTTAAATTGCTACATCCTTCAACTGCCATGTGTCATCCAACTTAGCAATTTGATCATAAAATTTAACGGAAACTAACGAAAGGTAAATTTGTCACAAGTGTACTGGTTAGGGTTTTCTCTGAAATTAACCCATAAAAGAATAAAAATTTTGAGGAGAAATTACAAAAATGGTCTTTGTACTATTTGCCCATGTTCAGTTTTGGTCCTCATTTTGTGATAGATTTGGTTTATAGACTAAATTTTTTTATCCTCTATGTAAATTTTGTATTTCCATCCAAATGCAGCTAGAATTTGCTGAATAAGTGCCGGAGATCAATATGTGGTGTTAATGGAGAATAAACAATGGAAATGTGATGATTTAATCCTAGAGTTGTACAAATTTGTCCGGCCCTTATAGGCCAAATTCCTCAAAAGCAATACTCAAGTATTGAACTACTACTTGGTCACTGATTTTCTGAACTAATTACAAATTCTAACTCTATGTGTTATTAGTACTTAGCATTTTTGTTAGCATGTGGACGAATAAAAACGAAATTGTCTAAAAATCATAATTGCATGTTAGATTAGGGGCCGAATTTGTTGAAAAAATAAATACAACAGAAATTGAGCGGGATTGTAATTTTTCCTTAACAATTTAAATATTGCCTTCATCTAATAGCTTGATTTTTTTCAAAATAATTAGTGTGATACCATAAATTCTCATACGAGTATTCGTGAAATATTTCGTAGTGGTCGACTTCACAGAGAGTCTTATACGGAAGACATGGAAAACAATGTTATAAATATTATTTTATATTTATGGCCAAAGGGACCACCGCCAGCCCTCTGTTGAATTCTCCCCTACATTTTGCTTTACTTTTGCTCTATTTATTGAATTGCTGGAACCTGGAAACGTGGGCCTGATATTGGTATCGTTGGCTTTGTCAACTCATCTATGTGGTTCATGTGACAACCCAGACCCCAGGCGACAGGCGTAGGATGAGGGATGGCAGGGAGGCTGCGCCTCTACCCTAGACGTGCATGGGGCGAGGCTAATCGCATGTCTCTTCTCCCACACTGCCAAATGGGGGGAGTCATGGGCTAGTTGATAAGACTTGGGTTTTCTATTCTGTGTAACGCGTTTTAAAATCGTGAGGAGTGGGCCCAAAGTGGATAATATTACAAAGTGATAGCCCTCGAGGTCCTTACAGGTGGTATCAGAGCTGACTCCCGATCGCGTGTGGGGCCCCAGTGAGGATGCTGTGTCCGTGAGGGGGGCAAAATGTGACAACTCAGACCCTAGGCAACAGGCGCAGGATGAGGGATGGTAAGGGAGGCTGCACCTCTACCCTGAACGTGCGCGGGGCGAGGCTAAGCACATGTCTCTTGTCCCACATCACCAAGGGAGGAGTCCTGGGCTAATTGATAAGGCTTGGGTTCTTGACTCTGTGTAACGGGTTTTAAAGCCGTGAGGGCCAGTAGGCTTAAAGCGGACGATATTACACATTAATAGCCCCCGAGGTCCTTACAGTTCATAACCCAATGCAATCTTGAAATCAGTCCATATTCATGTTAGGCATTTTGATCCTCAGTGTCTGTTAGAAGATAATTATGCGATAAAAAAGTATTAAACAAGTTTTAACAAGAAAATGGCAAATGTTCCGAGAAATCATACTAAAATATACATACTAAATAGGGATAATATCATGAAAAACCCCAAACTGGTGCACATATGACAAATCTCCCATGACCTAATTTTTTGACCATAAAAAACACCAAAAAAGAACACATGTGACAAATTTTCCCCAAAAATTCCCAAACTAGTACACTTATAACAAATTTACCATTCATTAGTTTCCGTTAAATTGGATTAATATCATGAAAAACTACAAACTAGTACATCTGTGACAATTGGAGGGTAAAACTCAAAACTGGTATACCTTTCAACTACTACGTGTCATCTAACTCAGCAATTTGACGGTAAAATTTAACGGAAATTATCAAAAATTAAATTTATCATAAATGTACCGGTTTTAGATTTTTGATGGTCAAAATATTAATTTTGGGTAAATTTGTCACAGGTGTACTAGTTTGGAATTTTTCGTGGTATTAACCCTGCTATATAGCAAGTTTTGTTTGGGTAAGATAAATGAAACCATGCATTGAATCACTGGCTTCTTGAAATATCCAATATAAAATTGCCACATCATTTAGTAAAAATGTTTTAGGAAGATTTCTTAATACAAGTAGCATTCCTTGTTATAATAATGGGTACCACGACTGCAGTACCCTTCGGATATTTTTTAAGCTTGCTTTAATGCGCTTTGATATTGCAAAAAAAAAAAAATATTGCTTTCATATTTGAGTTTTCTCAGGGTGTCTGAATTTGTTATATACTGATTTTAAATATTTTATAACTCGATAAAAATACCTTAAAGATATTCGTTAACAAAATTTTTCTGATAATATAACATAAAAAATATTACATATAGTATTTTTCCATTTCAACAAGGTTTTCCAAACTAAAATGTCCGAAGATGGAATACCAAAAAATTAAAGCATATGGAACTTTAAACATACTTTTGTTTGCAGTTTGAATCACACATGGATAACAACATACAAACCCTTTAACCAGTTTATGGCATCTAATAAAGCAAACGAACATATGAAACTTGAATCGAGCAAATGAAACAAACTATAAATGATCCTATCAGCATTGCATGGCGCTTCTCATAATCAAGGGCTCGGCAAAACGAACTGCAGCAACTCATAGTTGCGCTCGAACTCGATCATATTGTGCTCAGCCAAGGTGATCCATGCTTCGATCCCATCCCCACCCCTCGTACCCATCAGAATCACGGAACACTGGTGGGGCACACCCAAGCAGGCCTTCCCCAGCCGAAATCCACCTTATGGAACGAAAACCTTGCCCAGAAGCTGAATTTGTAGAGCTCAATCTCTCCGGTCCAGGCCGCCATGAGGCTTTCGTAGGCCTTGGCCAATCCCCTCTCGCCTTGAAGTGCGCTCAAATATTGGCCATCTATTTCCCTTACTGATTTTTTGAGAATGCCTGCAAAGTCCTGCAACTTGACTCCCTTGTTTGCTTCCGCTAGTGGTGCAACAGTGGACTGCCACAGATTGCCCAAGGCGGTCTCAGGCAATGGTTGTGGCCTCATCCTGCTTCTGATGTTCACCACGTGTGACTGCTGATGATAGGTAAAACTTCTCCTTCCTCTCTGGCCTCTTCCTCACCGCCTCCACAGCAGATTTCCATATGAGGGTGGTCATGGCCTCAACACAAGTAGGATTGGCACCGCCGAACCTGGCCGTAAGGCAAGCCAAGCTCTCACTGTTGAAACGAAACCTCTTGGTCGAAAGCTTCTCTCTGCTTATGACTCCGGGTGGCATTTGGAAGTTTATGTCTTTTGGTTGGAAGAGCTCAGATGCTTTCAAGAAGGGAGTGATGAGGTTCGCAGCACCATCAACGCCATTGTTGGCGATTTCGGACCATGTGTTGAGGAAAGCGGTGACTGCCGAGCCGTCAGCGATCTTGTGAGAGATACAGATGCCGATCCCAATGCCACCACAGTCAAAGAAGTTGGCTTGGACCCCTACAATGACTTGTTCCTCAATGTTGGTACTGGCTCTGTATGGAGAGAATGGGAGGAATTGCTGCAGCTAAGTGATGTCCGGGTTCGAAAGGACTTTGGACAACCCGAAGTGATCTTTCGCCTCCAAAAAGAGTGCGCCCTCATCGTTGCAATCAACACCAGCATTTCCTTTCACCCTTCTGCCGAGAGGGTAGAAAAGGGAAAGCGCCTGCGTGAGAGAAGTCTTCAAGTATCCCGTCACCAAGGCTGGGTTTGGCGCTGCCTTGTCGTCAGGAGCCGAGTAGAACAGGACGATCGGAACATAAAACGGAGGAGCCAGCTGGTCAAGGAGGCAGAACTTGAAGTTCCTAAGGTGAGGTGGAGTTGGAGAGGACGGCTTGATGGTGTCTGTGGAGACAACCTCAACTTTCGTGGCCATGTCTGTTGAAAATTGAGAGATTCGCAAGTCTACTTTTTAAGTTTCTTTCTGGCGAAAAGTGTGCTTCTTTGGTCCTTCACAACTGCTTTAAATCAAGAAAAATGCGTTGCCTTACCAAGCAAAAAGATAGTCAACGAGTTCATCTGCATGATGTTCAGAAAAGGAACGCATGATTGCAAGAAAACGATCAAGAACTTATGGGATTTGGAGATCCGTGCCCAAGAAGATAAAACTTTTTGAATAGAACGCATAGCGGCCACTCTCATCGTCTTGGACGACGGTGCAATGTGGGCCACAATTTCCATTTCAGAGGAATGGGAAACTGGTCAAAGAGGTTGGCCGACTAGTGTGGAAGCGTCGAAAGATTAGTAGAAGTTCTAGCCGGACTGTGAGCAAGTCAATTATATAAAATATATGAATAAGGGTTCTTTCTTGGGGCTGCTTTTAATCACAATATATATCATAAGACTTTGAAATACATTTGCTATGTATGACATTTATTATAGTTACACAGTGATCTTATAATCTTTGTTTGGGTTTTGCATAACTCAATCGAAGATTAATATTGTCAGATGGTTTATTTTAGACCTAATTTCTTAACGGGGACTCCGATTGATAGTCCTATAAGGTACTCACTATTAAGCGGGAAATAAAAGGTCAAAACGTTTTGGTTACCCGCTTAATCCTCACTAAGTGTGATGTCTCTCTTTTAAATTTATTTTCTTATCTTGGGAAAATTCAAAAAATTCCACTCACTTTTCACTCCAAATTCACTTGGTATCTCTACTATAAATTTGCATTCAATACGCAAATAATATAGATAAATTGGACGTGCAATTACAAAACACAAACTCTTTTATTTGCACACTAAAACCCAAGTTAGCCTCCCTTTCTGAAAAGGAAAGTTACTTCTCTGGCTTGATTTAGATTTTGATACTAAATAGAAAAGATAAATCAAATTAAAATGTGATGTTAGGAAGTAAAATGGATACAATCTGTTTTATACTAGCTACAACAAAAGAACATGACTTGAATACAATATAAATTTATTGAGAAACCGAACCTAGAACACAACATAATAAAATGCGGTCAACTTGAAACTGACACCATCCACAAATTTTCATAAATTTCAGTAAAAAAAACCGGTTGTCATCACATTGGAACAGTTTGTAATACAAGGGATTAAATTAAATGAATATTATTTCATTTTCGTGATAATCTGAATTTTGGTCATTAATAATTTGAGATTTCTTTTTTAACTTTTCACTTAGGAATTTTTATTTATTTATTCATGGTTATCTGGGTGGAGTTTGTATTCCCAAGGAAAGCTTTTTCCTTCTGGATAATGCACCTGTACCCGAGAAAATCGGAGATATGGGCCCTAATTGGAAAGTTCCAATTCTCACTCACGCACAGTGAACGAGGCTTGCCGACCACACAGTATCAAAGAAAATCATACTGTGTAAAGAAATATCTGAATCTGGGGTAATCATTAGTTGGAAAGTTACAACGTGGCAGTGTCAGCGACATCTTGGTTTTCTAATATTAAGCACCTTAAACGTGTAGGAAAAATTTCAAATAAATATTTGAAGTATCTTCATTTTCTCAAATAAAAAGTTGAAGTAGCTATATTAATTTTAAAAAAGGACTTGACTTCACCGACTGATTAAGGGCATTTTCGTTCTTTATTTGTTTGATTTTCTTTTCCTTTTTTCTTTCTTTTTTTTTGCCCTTTTCAATTTTTTCTTTCCTTTTTGCCGATGGTTGGCCGCTGATCTCAAGCAATGGCCGACCATAGAGGGTCGGGCAAGGCTGCCTTGAAAGCCATAGCGAGGGCTAGCTTTGCCCGGGCAACCCTCACTACCCACAGGCAAGCCCAACCCTTGCTAGATCTGGGGGAGCATCGCCTCGCCATAGCCAATGAGGACCTGGGCGAGGATACCCTCACTAGTGACCGAGCTTGTAGGCCCTCTTGCCAAGGACTCGATTTTGCGTAAAAGTTGAGTCTTTTCGCTAACTTTGTCCAATTTTATTAACGGAAAATATTGACGTGATTTTTTAATATTTTATTTCTCCCACTTGGCATCCTACGCGATGAGAAAGTTAACCAAAGCACTAAAATGACGTTGTTTTGATCCGCATCTTAAATTTTTAAAAAAATCTTAATTAAATTAGGTTAAAAAATCCAAATTTTTCTATAAAAAAGACAAACTCAAAAAAGGGAAAAAAAAAGGCTAAAAGTTAATATAAAAAAAAGGAAACAATCCCGCTTGTATTTTTTTTAAAACGTTTAGTTTTCTTAATTTTTCATCTAATTTAATTAAAGTTTAGATAAAAAAAAATTTTGGACGAAAATTCCCTTGATCGACTGGAATATTTAACTGGTCGGCGAGGTCAGATCCTTATTTAAAACTGCCATGGCCACTTCAAGCTCTTTTTTGAAAAAAGATCTCTTTAGGCATTTATTTTAAAAAAATAATGACACTTCATGCCCTTATTTATAATTTTCTCAATATATTATTGAGTCGTCCAACTTTGAATCAATTTAGGTTTTTTTTTTTAATCTGACATCCATCCTATTCGGGGATGCTTTTGAATTTGTGCATCTTTTCACTTAAAAACCCGACATTGGCGGTGAGATGTGGCGGTCGATGTGGAAGGCCACAAGAGATGATAACGCTGACCAAACATGTGACAGGACGTTGCGTCAGCTGCTAACTTAGCTGCGAGTGTCGTGCGCATGTCCTTCCGAAATGCGTATGGCCCAACCGTGACGTGTGCGATCTTCATCCAACGTTATTTTGGATCCCGAAAATCTCTACAAACATGTCTTGATTTTATAAAAGCTTTTGAGTGGTGTATTTTATGTTTACCACTTATAAATTTTGTATAAATGTTGTGTATAGGTTCTGAATGTGACTGCTCTCATTATTCTACTACACTTAGTTTGATCGCTCCATTTTATTGGTGGACAAGGATTATTTCTTTATATGGCGACCCCATTTGCGAAAGCAAAAGGTTGCTGAATGATTTGCTTGTATGGAAGACTAGATCTCTAGTGATTTTTTGCAATCTACAACAGATATATTGATTATCTCGAAGATCACTCAATGGTCAACTTGAAGATTGACAACTATGAAAGGATCCACACAAGCCGAAGTGAAAATACACAAGTTGTAGAAATTACAGAAGTAACATACATTTTGTTTTGGATAAAATTACTATTTAAGAGTGACACATTGTTTTGTAATCTCTCTTGAGAAGAGTACGAGTGTTACAGTAGTGCTTAAAATTAATGGTGTGATCAGTTCGGGTTGAAGTAGAAGCAGACTGAATTTGTATCTACTCAAGGATTATTAGCGAAATCTAGCTTGTTGATGGCTGCTAGTCTGGGAGTAGATGCAAGCTTGATCTAGGCCTAACTACTATAAATTTGCGTACATCTATCTCTATACTCTTTGCTTTAAATATTGATAGAAGCACCACACTAGATATTAGCAATTTATTCTTACATCTGTCAACTTGATTATATTTCTTCAGCAAAGGAGGATCAGAAAACGAATTTCGAAAAACAAAAAAGGAAAGTAAGAAATCATGAGAGAGAGAGAGAGAGAGAGACAGAGAGAGAGAGAGAGAGAGAGAGAGAGAGAGAGAGAGAGACAGAGAGAGGAAGGAGTTCAGTCTGAGGCACGTTTCGAACGTCTCAAGGAGCAAGATCACCACCATTTCGAAGCACACGGGTTTTGAAGCTATCCCAGGGCGTGACTTTCGATTTGACTGTTGGTGAATTATAATAAGTGGTGCTTATTTCTTTCATAAATTTGTAAATTTATGTCTTGAAAATGATGGGGATTCAATATAATATGAGTTATGAAAGAGCATATTTATTGCATAAATCTAGATTGAGTGTTAAATACCTTTTCTGATTATTTGTGAATGATTTGAAAAATATTTTAGGCAATGTGCAATGAAAGGTTATGTACACTAATAAACAAAAATCTATCATCAACAAAAAAAGTTACAAATCTATTACATTGATACCAATTAAGTCATAAATTTTTCAATTTGACCGATTTAGTCCTAAAACGTTTACTTTTGTGTCAATTGAGTCAATTCGGCCAATTTTAGTTGGATATCGTTGGCATGATCCTATGTGATATGACTAGTCTAACATGAACAAATTTGCAATTTTTTAATATTTTTTTCTAAAATTTTCATTATTTTTGGTTTTCTTTTTTTCCTTTTATTTTCCTTTTTTCATTGTGGTCAGTGATGGTTGCCGGCGACCCTCACCTAGGCCATCACCAGCTACGGGGGAGGGCCGCCAAGCCCTCACCAGATTCTACGAGGGTTGCCATTGCCCGCGGCTAGCGATGACCTCATGAATAGCTATTGAGTGGCTTTTGATTTTTTTGTGCCATCTATAAATAATCTCCTTTTTCTTGTAATTGAAAGTTATAATAGAGAGGTGGGAGGTGCTAATTATAATGGAATCCTTTGCTGGATGTAGCTCTCATTTAAAGGTGAGCCATGATAAAACCTTAAATCTCAATTTCTCTTTCTCGCATTTACTCTATATTTCGTTGTATTTGTGCACATAATCCTAACCACCTTTATCTTCACCATTGTCATGATTTTGTTCCATTTGGACTGCTTAACTTACCCCCAAATTTTCGTAGTATGGAAGTAGCATAGTGGAACAAGGACACTACAAGTGTCAAAAGTTGTGTACGTCGCTCACTTCGTCAGATCACTTAAGTGCCAAATCGAAGAAAAAACGATTACTTAAGTGCCAATGGCAAGAAATTCCAGCCAAAATAAATACGTGGCATTTCAATTAAAAAAAAGTGAAGTGGCATATTTTTTAAAATGCAATCCACTTGTACATGAAAAATGACGTCGTTTTTCCATCCGATGTGACTCCAACAAACAAAACGATGTCGCAGAAGGTGGATGCAAATTTGGGCGTTGACTTCCTTTTACTGATCGTCGCTTGCTCA